CTCGGTAGAGCGGCGGGGTTCTTGTGTCGACGCGCGTCCTTCCTTCGCGCGACACGAGAGGAACAGACGACAGAGTCAGAGGAATCATAAAAGCACACACGTACGGTTTAACATTACGCTATATTTAATAAAAAAAAACAACAAAGAAAGATACTACAAAGACGCTATGCGGGCTCCGAGTCGCGTAGTCGCGAAATCATTCGGCAGCCGGATCCGTAGTCGAGGATCCTTCTGCTTCGCGGAGTTCGAACGGTACGAGGCTCGCGAAATTCTCTCGTTACGCTAATTATTACTTTGGGCGCCAGCCGGGTGCATCCCGGCCCTAAGTGTCTCGTCGCGAACCGCGTATTTCTCGCCACTCTCGGAGGCCCGCACTTTCTAAGAATGACCGCGAGTTATCACAAATTTTACGCAATCGCTCGCCGTACTGTACGGTCGCGAACGCGGTGAAGCGGCAGCAGGCAACGCGGTAAGGACGGCTATTCTCTCGCGAGGTTGGACGGTTCGTCAAGGATGGAGACGAACCCTTCCGGCTGCCGTCGTGAAGCGACGGCAACCATCTCGGTCCTTCGGCGCTCGGACTGAACGACAGGCAGAAGACAGCTCACCAAAAATCCCTTGCTGGGCTCGCCCCTCGTTCCCCTCTCGATTTCTCGCTGTACGGCTCGTCCGCTCGCTTGCGGTGTCGTTCGCTCGCTTGCTGGTCGTTTTCACGCTCGCCGGATTGTCACCGCTCTCGCGTCGCTCGCTGTTCGCACAGTGTCGAATCTTTCCGCGAGCGCGAGGCTCCTTAGCTCGCGGTATCAGCCGCCGATCGCCGCTAGGTCCCATTGGTCCTGCGGGAACGCACGGCTCTAGCGCGGGCGCCTTACAGGGCCCGCGCGACACCGCCGAATTCTCTGATTCCGTGTCGACGGAATCCTGCGTCTGACGGCAGCTCTAACTGGCGTGGGCGCTCAGGTGGCTGCTGGAAGCTTTAGGTATCCCAGGGCGTCCCCCGGGATCTGGTCCTTAAGGTTAGCCCTTCCTGGCGCCCCGCTGCAATCTAGTCGGGGCCCCCTCGCTTGTGATAGCGAGGGGTGGATCCTGCCCCGCTTGGCTTGTCGTCCGCTGCAGGTCCGCCGTCGCCTCGCTCCGATCGCTGCACTTCGTCGTTCTCGTCGCGGTCCGAGCCCACAATTAAACAAACGAAAATAACAAAAAATTATAATAACGTGATCTCGCACGCTTTTGCGTGCGAGACCAATTCTTCGCAGCCGCCCTTCCCGCGGAAGAAGGGGGCGCGAGCACAGCTCTCCTCGTCTCCC